CAGAGTTCCCTGATAATCAAAACTCCAACAGCAGAAAAACCGTAACTGCCCTTCTCTCAAAGGGAATTCCAGGGGGCAATACACAGGCATGCTGAGAGACCAAAACAGAATTCTCTGCTTCCTGGGTGCCCATCTGGAACAAACTCATCATTTTTCCTCGGGGTGGGCAGTGAAACTAGGGACAGCTATTCAGCAAAGAGCTGGGGACATCCTGCACCACAGTTCCCTCCTCCATCCCAACCGCCAGGTGCCTCTGAGAAGGGTGGGTATCTTAGGTGAAGGTAGCTTTGAGAGGTCAGATGTGAGAGCAGCCAGAAAATCATGGCTTGTCTTCTCAATAGCAGAGTGTCATTTCTACAGAAAGGGCATTTCTTCCAGGATATCATTCTAATATAAAATTTCCTATCAGATAACCCTAGTAGCTGTCCTGACCTGGATTTTCCTGACTGCCTTGTGTCAGCGTGGGAGGTAACACATAGAAACTCACCTCCAGCACCATCTAGGACAGACAAGTTACAGAGAGTTGGAGATTACATTTTCAAAGTTGCAAAAGAAGGGCAACTTGTTGGCCAAAATTTGTTGTCCTGGGTATCTTGTTCCAGGGATATATTACAACATTGAGCAAGCTTAAACATTTCCAGTAGATATCTAAAAACACACCATCTGGGATTCTCCTTTGTGATTTTCCTTTCCTTCCTTTCACCATGAACAGCAGACATTCCACTCTGGAAGGAGTAAGCACGGCCGCATCTGCAAGCCAGCCTTCCAATCCAAAATGTTAACATTCAACCGAGGATCCACTTTTGTCTTTCTTTTCCATTGTCGTGTTTGATATTTCTCAGTGATTTGTCCTAGATGGGCCCTTCAGTCACATTCTGCTTTCAACTCTACTCTGATTCTTCACTTGAGAAGCAACTCTGAATCCTGCTGGTTTCATTCCCACCCCTGGCCATCTCCAGCTCTCTCCTGATATGCAGTGTCCTGCTTTCTTGCTGTCTGGCTGAGGAACCAACTCATATGCAAAAGACTTTGAATAGTATGAGTGAGAAGATTTCTTTAAATAACCATGGCTTAGATCAGGAGTAGCAAGCAAATAAGATTCAGAGTTTCCTGAGAGCTCAGTGGTGATGGGCTCATGCTTTGTCCTGCATTCCCTTAGCTGCCAGTCACAACTCTTCCAGCCAGTTCCTGGAAAGCAACCAACTGACTGTGTTCCCACTTTGCTATGGCCATAAACAATGACAGACTTGCCTTGTCTGGCACTGCTCTGCTGAGCTTTATCTGGATCCCACTGCAGCCCCCGATGGAGAAAGCGCCATCCCACCTAATTCTTTGTATGTGGGCTGTAAATACCTGAAGATATGTTTTGTATGAGTGAAGTGTCATGGAGGCTGTGACTTCCCTACTATTGCTTCTGGCAGTCTTGCACCAATTGTTCATAACTCACTTTGGCAAGCTGGCAGCTTCCAGCACCTGAAAGCTGAAAATAGGAAAGGGCATTTGCAGGGTAGTGATACGATGTGTGCTTAGCTTTAAAAAGGATCACAAATTTAAAGCAGCAGAGAGCAAAAAGGCATACCAGTATCACCATGGATATGTGACATTAAACAAACCACTTGTCATGATACGCAGCTGACTACTTGCCAAATGGAACGGGATCTCCATATTATTCATTGTTTTGTCCTGCTAAACCTGCACACCAATGAGAAGGAAAAAACTCCAGAAAAGTACTGTCATTTTTCTGACCGTCTCTGGCTGTGTTGGAGATCCTTGTTCAGTGGCAATTCCTCCATTCATCTGCTGACATGCATTTGAAGACCAAAAGGTGAAATCATGGTGGGCACCCTACTTAACTGCTGCAGGAAAGGGAGCTCCAGGATAAGGTAACTTCCTTGCAGTAACTCACACTTTTAAACCTTTCTGTCTTCCTAGCGCTTTGATTTCACCCCTTTTGTCCCTCACAGCTGAGACATCAGCCAGGTATTTTCCTGGTATCCCATGTCTGCCCAACCACTGCCATCTGCCCATGTGGCTTTGCCAAAGGATTGCACCAGCCACACAAAGACACTCATCCATCACCTCAGTGCATCCAGGAGCCCAGCTCTGCCTTGTCTCTCTTTGAGATGGAGGCAGAGCTAACCATCCTTTAGGTTTTGTAAGTCACTGCAGCCTAGTAAGAATCTGGCCCACCCAAAAGGGGGCAAGACGCTGTCACATGGAGAGCCTCTTGAAGCATGCCATTTGTCTCACCTGTGGCTCTCCAGGGAGGCCCTCCTGCACTGTGCTGCATCCTTGCATAGCACGTGGAGGAGCAGAAACCCCATCTCAGCCTACACGACGGCCGTCTTGACCTCATATTCACAATTCTTTGTGCCGGGGGAGTGTCCTGCCTATCACGGTCCTCTCTGTGCGCCCGTAGACGGCTCCAAGAAGAAAAACAAACACGGAAGCAGAAGGCCAGGCAAAGACACTGTGGAAAAGTGGGCCACCATCTAGCACTTCCCTGTGGCATGCCTCCCCCAGCCCCTCAGCTCTTCCCTCTCCTTGAAGGACAGCATGGCTGCCCTTCAGAAAGGAGCTGCATCTGGAGCAAAAGGCAGCAGCGACGGCCTCGGGGGTGGGGGGGCAAGCTTGGGTACGCGTGGTCCTTGCCGGGGCTGTGCAGCGAGGCATGGCTCTGCCGGGCAGGGGGACAGACAGGGGACCTGCCCAGCCCGGGCGATTGCAAAGCGTGTGTCCACCGGAAACCCGCATGTTCTGGGGTTTTTTGCCATTCCAATGGAAACAATCGTAAATAACTGTAATAAACCCCACAACCCCGGCCAAGGGCAAGAGTGGGTGGGCACTCGCCCTGCACAGCCCGGGTGGCAGCGGGCAAAACACGGGAGATGGAGGGACGTGGGAAGTGGGCAGCGTGCCGGTATCCCCATATACACCTCCCGCATACGGCTCCCGTGTTTGTGGAAAAAGGTGGATTTCGGATCTCGGCTCCGGGGGAGGGGCCGGCCCC